TGATAAAATCGATAGGGAAGATTTCCTGAGACCTGGAACTTTAAGAACAAGAGGTCATAGATTTAAACTAACTAAACACAGATGCGAAAAAAATATAAGAAATTTCACTTTCGCAAATAGAGTGGTAGACGGTTGGAACAAGTTAGATGAGAAGGTGGTGGAGGCCAAGACTGTCAGTAGTTTCAAAGCGTTATATGACAAAGAATGCTGGGAAGACGGGACACCACGAGCGTAGCTCTCATCCTGTAACTACACTTAGGTAATTACACACAGATGTGTGGAACTGAGCTCAGTTCCAAACACAGTTGTGTGTGCAACTGAACTGAGCATTCCACTTCATTTTATGTTCCAAACATCTTTGTGCATAGGAAACTTAGCAGATACAGGTATATGGAAAAACACAAACATGGTTCACTCTCTTCAATAATGGTTGCAGAAAAGACCCTCTAAATTATAGACCTGTATCATTATCAATGACCTGTAGCTACTAAGGAAGATAGAAAACCTTGATGGTTGCCATCTCCTTCAAATTGACGTAGATAAAATAAGTGCTAGGAGCACTATGTGGCAAATGGAATTCATTGTGAATAAATGCTATGTTATGAAATGTGAAATAGTAGAAAATAGACCCCACACAACCTATAAATTATTTGGAAAGGACTTGAAGAACTCTAACAAAGAAAGAGATCTAAGGGTGGTTTTGGATAGTAGACTGTCACCAGAGGAACACACACAACGGACATTGTGTGAGGATCATATGCTGCGCTTTCCAACTTAAGAATCGCTTTTAATTACATGGAAGGTGAAATACTAAGGAAACTGTTCATGACTTGTAAGAGCAAAATTGGAATATCCAACAGTTGTATGGTACTCTTATCTGAAGAAGCACATTATTAAACTGGAAAAGATGCAAAGGCATGCTACAAAATGGCTTCCAGATCTGAAAAACAAGAGTTATGAAGAATGGATAGAGGTTAAATATGCCAAAACTGAGAGAAAAAGAGGTGATTTGATCACTACTTACAAAATAATAGGAGGAACTGACCAAATCAACAAAGAGGAATTTCTGAAACTGGCAACCTCAAGAACAAGAGGTCATAGATTCAAGCTAAGGAAACAAAAGTGTTGAAAAAATACTAGGAAGTTTTATTTTTGCAAAAATAGTGGTAGATGGTTGGAAGAAGTAGAGTGAGAAAATGGTGGAGACCAAAAACGTCAGTGGTTTCAAAGCATTATACTGTATGACAGAGTGCTGGGAAGGCAGGACATCACAAGCGTGGTATGGTGGTGTCCTGTAACTATACTTAGGTAATTATACACATACCTTTTCTGCCCATCTTCTTCCCAACTTTCCTCTTCTCTCCTCTTCTTACCCTTATATTCAGATAAATACATTCTTCACCAGTTTACCATCATCCATAAAAGATTTGATCGAATTTAACAGAATTCGACCAACTTCATATATGGTCATCACTCTAAAGTGTTGTCTATTAATTTTCTTTTATACTTTTTCCAAGGTCATAAATGCATTACAAGCTTTCTCGAAGGTCTTGTGATTTCTGTCTCTGCAAATTTATGATTTACACACCTTACACCACAGAACCCTCCATGTTCATCATTGATAAAGTTTTGTGGTAATTTTTTGTACTGTATTCTTCATCAGTCTCTTGCCATACAGTTTGTACTATAATTAATAAAATAATGCCTCATTATTTTTGACACTACGTTCCTCTTTATTTTTATGCAGTAGTACAGTCACTACTTTTTTTTTTCCAGTCATATGGTACAGTATCACTATCTCATGCCTTCTTGCAAATTTTCTACATCCACGTCTCATTTTTCTTCACTGCAGTATATTTAATCATTTCTTCATGTACCTCAGCTACTGCATCTTTCTCACATATCAGCTTCCTCTTTGATACACTTACTGCTTTCACAGATATATCAGCTGGCATACTGGCCGGCATCATGCATTTTTCTCACACCCGTCAAATCCAGTTGTGTTCACATTAGCACCTCTTTCATCACTGGTACTTAAACACGTTAGGATTTTCCAATTTTCACCATTTAACATTCTCTTATGTTTATCTTTAATTATCCATTTACTCCTCCACCATTCTCCCTGCTCCACTGCTTTTATTTACTGTATTTCCAAAAGGGCTTCCTGTTTTATGACTACAGCAATTTTCTTAATTTTTCTTGCTACTGGTATCTTTTAAGTTACAGTACTTTCTGTTTTCTAATCTTTTTACATATCTTTTACTCTCATCATACTCCCATTTCCTTGCCTCTGTCACTTTCACTTACAGTATTTGTTTTTACTAGACAAAATGGCATAGAGGATTTTACTCCCAATGTGTTTCAAGACTGCTGTTTACTGGCAACTTTCTAAAAATAAATTATAATACAGTACAGTAATGACATTCAAGTTACCAAATCTCAACGATGTGTATTTTTTGGGAGTAGGGTAATGTTGAGACTGCTGGATGAAATCATTTTAAGTTAATAACACAAATATTGTTATAGAAAACTGGAAGTGCACATCTTTTCTAAACCATATAATAGTTAATGAACTTCTTTAAGTAATCAGAGAAATAGAAATCATCAGTTAACTATGATAACATTTGCATTTGCATCACAGGAAACAAATTTTTGCCAAGTAACGTTTATTCAAAATTAAATTGATTATAATAGTACAGTAACCAAATTTCATACAGTATAATAGAAAGCATTGGAACTAAAAAGATAATTATTAAGTAAATGCATTGAACCTCAACACATGCAACAGACTCATAAGTTTTTTAGTACATTTAGATGAATTGTAATGTCATGCTGTTGGTTAGTTATATGCACATTAAGTAGAGTTAGTGTTAGGAGAAATAAAGGAAAGCTTTTTAGGTATATAAATGGAGAATCTTAATATAAAATAATAGAACGTTGAATGTAATGAAGTGCCACTTTCTGTGCCGAACCCTAAGTCGGTTTCCGTACAAAAAAGCATTGTTTTATTAGAGCTTATGGTAGCAATCTGGCTTCTGACTTTTGAAGACCATATGGCCTCTGACCTGAACATATAGGGCCAGATTCTGGTGTTTTTACAGAGGCAAAAAAAAAAAACGTTCAAAGGTCATAAATCAACCTATAGCAAACCAAACAGTACTGGAAGGTAAAAGACACCTAAACAATCAAATGCTAATAGAGATGATGAATGAAACAATTTAAAAACATGCCAAAAGATAGTTGAAGTCGGGGGAACAACCAGTGCTTCAACCTCCCACAATCACCACTAGATGGCAGCTCAGGTCATCATCCCTTGTACAGTAGCACAAACACAATCATGAAAGTGTAAATAATTATGAAAACAAAAGGAAAAGTCATTCCAGGAAAGCAAAAAACCACTTAGCTCAAGTAATGTCTATCTTCAGCAGAGGCAGTAATGCATAGTACAGTACAGTACAGTACTAGAATGAACCAGGCTTGAATGTGAAGGTGCAGCTAGCAGGGAAACCCCTCTGTGACATGCACTTCTATCTGGAGGTGATTGCTGGAGTTTGGCCAGCTATTAGTCGACATGTTTACAAATTGTTTAGTGACGTTTTAATTTTCTGTACGGTTTGCTTTTATGTAAGTTGATCAATGGTCCCTATGCTTCCCTTATCTCTATGAGAACACCAGATTCTGGGCATGTGCATTTGTTAAGCCTTTGAAAGTCATCAGAGGTCTGACTGTTACTATCAGAGCTCCAATGAAATGGTTCCTTTAGCTAAGGGGGACCCAGTGAGGGGTCCAGTACAGAAGGAAGGCTGCTCATATAGATACAGTAGTAGTTATTATAAGCTGTTAATTAGAAATAAGTTTAAAAAACTGTAATGTAAACAAGCCCATTGTGAAAGTTGGTAGAGAGGTGCTCCGTCCACTTATACCAGCCATCCCACCCTGGAACAAGTAAGAATATATACAGCACACATTGTCACATCAAGAAGCAGAAATGCTTTGGTGGTGGTCTGTGAAGCACTTGTACAACTGTACATAAAAGTAGTGCATGATTACACACACTCTAGGGTTATAATAGTGATATTTCCCAACATACTTGCCATCTGCCAAGACTATTTAAATACTTTTCAACCCTGTTCTGATGCTGTGAACTGATGCAGTAGTTGTAGAAGTCATGTTGGTTGTGGATACGTGTTATTCATTCGACTTACAGCAATTAAATTTTTAACTTGAGATGGATTTTTATTCATTGTTTTAGCAAATGTACTTTATTTTTTTTATTTTTTTTTACTATCATATACTGCACTGTGCTGTTTGGTACAGGTATTTGAGACAATACATTTATAATTATTTTGTTTAAAATGGGGAAAGCATGTTAAAACACATGACTTCCACAGAAAATTCCCTCATAGCCTACAGTGCCAGAACAGAATATTCCTGCATGCCAATAAAATGCCCAGTTTAGATTCTGTTTTCCTTTAGTTAAGAGAATGGTTAACCCTATCTTATTCAGTACTTACCCTTTTGACATGTAGGGATAGTGAGTAGATGCAGTACATTTATTACAACATATCTTGTGTATATTAACAATATTACTAACAGTGACAAAATATCCACGCTAAGAGAAGACTTGTTGAAAATAATTATATGCAAAAGTTGGCATGAATACCTTTGCAGATACTGTATTCTTCACTTGTGCACGGCTCTTAAATATATAATGTATTAATATTACAGAGTTTGCAAATACCCTGTGAACTTAGTGATCATCCAAATCTAAAATTAGCTATTAATAATTTGTCTGAATATCATTTTATTTTTATACTCACTATAATTACCCTAAAGTTGTAAAATTTAATGGACCTTTAACTGTCCCTGGTACCTGTGCATATCAAAACTATCATAGCAACCAAATTCCTTATCAGTGTCCTGTATTCCAAAAAATTGGTAGGACAAATACAGTTTTTCTTCCGAATTATGGTCACACAGACCAATATTTTGCTTTGCAGGGCTTGAGGCAGACCGTATTATTGGTGGTGAAATGTTGGGATCAGGTGAAGAAGATAAACTTTACAAAAGGTAAGATTTTAATTTTTCTCTATAATGAAAATTTAAACATTATAGTTAAACTAATTTTATATACTGTACTGGTATGTAGTGTGTTTGTCGTTTGTACGCACAGTATAGTACTGTACATACCATATTAGCAGTTGGTTCACAATCAAAAGATCCCGGAATTGATCACCATGTAATACAAAAATGTTTGGAACATTAACCTACACCTGATGCCACTATTCACCTAACTTTAAATATGTACCCAGGAATTAGGCACCTGTCTTTTAATTGCATCCGGGGGTAAAGGTCATTAGTTGACTTTGTTTTTGATAATGGAAAACCAAATGACTTTTAAGATTTCAGACATTTCAGAACATCTGGATTACAGTCGAGTTCTCTATTATCAACGCTTTTTACCCCAAATAGCGTGAGATACTTTGAACTTTGTAACTTATTTCATTCAGGGTATTGGAAAATATCCTCATAAAGTACCCAAAAGTTGCTAGTGTTAGCCAGTAGACTAGATTAACATCCCATGTGTTTCTTTGATTCTGTGTATGATAATTCAGCTTGTGAGATGGGGATATTAGATGAATTTATAGTTAGTTCTTGATCTATACCAACCACAGGTCAAAAAACTACTTTACTTAGATTATGTGACAAAGTTTTGCTCAACTGACAGATAACAGAGCCAACTAGGAATTAAATTAATCTTAGATGTGATCTTCACAAGCAATGAAAAAATAACCATGGGCATTAAAATCTCAGATACCACATACTCAGATCACAAGTGCATTGAAGTGCAAACTAACATCAATACTTGTACAGTAATACTGTATGTCCAAAAAATTATGAAACAAAAGGTGTTATTCAATAAATTCCGTTTTAATAATAAGAGGATTGACTGGGGCGAAAATAAACAGAACTTGCAAACATTCTATGGGGAAAAGCTGTCTTGAGGTAACAAAACTCTCATGTAAGAAATAGAGCAACTGACTACTGAAGCATATCAAGTCTACTGGAAACATGTTCCTTCGCAGAAGGTCAGAAAGAGGACCAGCTTAGAAAGAACTGCTGCAGAACAAGGACAAAAATAACTGAAATGCTTAAGCAAACATGACTATCCTACCAAGGAAAAAAATAATGTGAACAGGGAGATCGAAAAAATAGAACAGAAACTGAACCAATCATACCAGACTGCAGAAATGAAATTGGAACAAAAAGCCACACAAAAGATTCAAACAATAGCCATACAAGAGATCCAAACAATAGTCATACAAGAGATCCAAACAATACCCATACAAGAGATCCAAACAATAACCATACAAGAGATCCAAATAATAGCCATACAAGAACAATCCAAAATATTTCTTCACATATGCAAAATAAACTAAAAACTCCACTAGTATTAGATTTTATCCTTATAAATGAAGGAACATACACAGAGGGTATTTAAAGAAATTAGTAAAATCCTCAAATTATGAGGCTGTATTTAACATCGTAATAAGCAACATGAAAGTTGAAGATCGAGACGGCTTCTTTAAGAACGCTACCCCAAACCCCGTGAATGAGGGCCACTTCTTGAGGGAGAGTGGGCCCCAATTTAGATTGGCTGCATCTTTATCACTCACAGTATCTCTGTGGCACTATGCAGTACCTTCTTTGTTGTGTTTTCAACCTGAGAAATCTAAATTACTAGTGATCATTGAAAATTGTGTTTACTTTTTATTTATATGGTTATATGAATTGATGTGTGCATTAACTTACATTAGATTAATGGTACTTTATGTTAATAGCATCTTAAAATATCCGTAATTTTGTTTGATGTGTAATAAATGAAACTGATGTTTTATTAATTTTGCTTAACTTTATATTTATTGTATTAATACTGTATTTGAAATGAATAACATTTTCCAGTGTGCTGAACTAAAAGTATTAGTGGCACATACAAGCACAAAAGTTTAGTAAAACTGTTCAAGATTCGATAAATTCATATGTTCAAATGACTAAGGTCACTTACGATGATTTGATAAATATTATTTACTGTACACTGCTCCTTTTACAGTATTTGATTACAGAACCTTGGAAAAATTATATGCATTGAGAATTATGCATAATTATACATAGAGAAACTGAGCATTTGTTTCATTATTCTAAATTATAATTCTTTATCTTGTTAGTTATTTATTAAAGTACTGTATAATGTGATAGCTGAATTTTCTGCCAATGTTCTGTTCCCAGGGCCTATAAATCTGAGTATCGCAAGAAGTTCCGTCCATTCTCACAATACCAATATGTGGATGGCAGATTCCATAAGGTGAAAACTGATGAGGCTACAGCAGCAGCAGGAACCAGTGAGTCACCAAATAATTGGTACAAGGAGGTTATTGAGCTTCGTCGCCAGGCTGGGCAATATCGGGTATGTATTGTTCGAGAATATGGTTTTGCATTTGATCTTGATTAAAAAAAATTCTTAAGTAATCGCCTCAAATACTAAGAAGCTTAGATATACTGTATCAAAGGTCAATCCCACTGTATTATGGTATCAAATCTCAGAGAGAATAAATACATATTAGTATGTACAGTGTGACTTGTTTTGTAATGTGGGGTGGGAGTTTTACTTTTATATTGAAGTTGCTTATTATTACAGAACAAATTTAAATCTTGTAAAAAGTTATATTCTTTTCATAATTAAGTGAATACTGTACTAACATTTTGAAAGCAAAGTAGAGAAAATACGAGAGCAAGCGTACAGGGCCTGGGAGCAAGGTTGAGTAAGAGTCCTTGATGGTCTCCTCTCAGATTAGCCTCACCTGGTCCTGATCCACACTGATCGTGAGAATCTCCTCAATGCTTGAAACACTTTTAAGGGACTCGTAGGGTCCTCATCACATTCATAGTTTTGTGAGTAATAGGCAACTCGGTGTTGAAGACACCCAGGGCTGAAGGCTTAAGTAATAGTTGGCAGTATTCAGAAGTGGTTCAACAGAAACACGGCATAATGCTAATGCTTAACAGTACTGTAGTTTATTTACAAACTTAACCACTAATACAATGGGTGCTTGATTTACTTTAGATTGGCATCAGCAAGGCTATTATCATATTAGGGAGACTCTTGACATCTAACTAATTGATTCTGATCCACTCGTGGAAAAACACCAACTTAACACAATTGACAGCCAATCACTAACACGGCAAACCTATAATGCCGGTGTGCAAAGGGTCACAGGAATTCCAAACAGGATACTTGGGTTATAATCATGCACAATAAATCAACAATGGCACTGTCAATGGGACAGTCAATAATCATGCATAATAATTATGTTACATAATAACTAAATGTGTGGTTATTAATGCAAGACTTCGTAGGTAGCCTGACAACTGATCTCACTCGTTCTGACGTGAGGACACTAAAGGATGACAGACTTTCCCGACACGACCGTACTTGACACAGCAAGGTGTGCTGTATGTCTATAACAAACACAGATACCCCTGATTGCACTGGCGCGCGAGTAAGGGTATGGCGGGCGGTGATGTCACGTAGTATAGTGAGGATGGAGCGGCTGGCGGCTACTCACTCTTGACTGAGTGGCGGCGGGTGTTGGCGACTAAATTATTACACCATGCAGGTGCCTGTGTATAAGTTAACACAAAGTACATAGATGCTGGCACTTTCATAATTCACTTGAGGTCACTCACAGACAATCTCAATTTTATCACTAGGGGTTACCTGATACCTGTCTGTTTTGCTCTGGTGATTCACAGACTTTTGTCACTAGAAGGCTTCTAAACAATATAGTCATGGTCACGATTCGGGGTGAGCACTGGTATATTGAGCAGAATGCAGAGTTTAACTTGACGGTAAGGGATGGGTGGTGTGTTCTACTCTATTTGCCGATAAATTAGAATCACTTGTCTACCACGTATAACGTCCCCCACAAGAATAACGTTGCAAGGGGTTGCACGCTTCCTCTGGGCACAAACACCAGGTCTACAAACTGACCTATGGTGTTGCAAAGCAGGTGTTGGAACCAATGGTGTTGATCCTTACATGATGGATAGAAGAGTGACGTCATGACTACGTCACTGTTCATCACAACGGTTGAGGCTGACCCCAGAGGTCAGAGCTTATTTCTTGCCTCGCTGGCGTCCCCTATCTTCCCTCACTTGGCACTTTACAACGTGTGTACTCCCAGACTCTCATTTTCTATGGCTCAATTGCTTAACTCCCCTTTATTTGCTTTCTGCCTGGACATATGGCGGCCTGCGTATGATACAAGTATTCCTGGGGTTAGATTCACAAAGCAGTTATGCAAACACGAGTCTGTACATCTTTTCTCAATCTTTGGCCGCTTTGTTTACAGTTATTAAATAGTTAATGAGCTCCAAAGCACCAGGAGGTTGTTTATAACAATAACAACAGTTGATTGGGAAGTTTTCATGCTTGTAAACTGTTTAATAAATGTAACCAAAGTTGTCAAAGATTGAGGAAAGATGTACACGTTCGTAAGTACTTGCGTAAGTGCTTCATGAATCTGGCCCCTTGTTATGTAGGCATTTTGGGGACACCCAACATTACAGTTTTCCCATTCAGAGGTAAAAGCAATAGGCTTTGTGCACTGTGCACTGCAATGAGCCATTCAAGTCAGCTGTGGAAGAATCTTGAGAGACCATACTCTCACACTCATTAGTTTTAATTACCATTCACCATTTCATAACGATTGACCATGCAAGATTGTAATACAAGATTTTTAAAGTACTGTATGATGAAAATTTCCAGTACAATATGGAACTACTATGAGCATCAGTTTGTCATAGTTATTAAATTAGAATAATTGATTAAAGAAGCAAGATTTTTGCAGTATTGTGCTCTGGTGCAAACATGTGTTCATCTTTTCATAATATGCTGTAGCAGTAAAGATTGTTGATTACAGAATGCTGAAAAATTGATTTCTTAATAGCACTTAGCTAGTGTTGTGTGTGTGTGTGACTGACTTTGATATCAACGTTTACAAATTTTCTAACTTTTAATTGAAATTTTCACAAACTAGGTGCATTCCAAACTTGTTTTTATACGGTACTGAAGTCCTTTTACTGCAAGTTCAGCCTTGCTGTTTATGATCTGTATAAATATTGTCAGTTCCTGTGCAGTGTTGACAGTGGTCATGTGTTTAGGGTAACAGACTTTTTAAATATGATTAAGAGAGGGATTTTGATTATGAACAAAAAAGAAGTTTTATATCTTTTAATATTGTGAATGTTCTATCACAAACAATTTTATACCAAGATCAACGACGTAGCACAAAAATTGAGGTTAGAAAACTAAAAAGAGTACAGTATACACATTTTAGTGTGGTTGCGTGTTCACGGGTAATGTTCTGCCGATTTTCAGATTTGCTGCGTGTGGCACGTTGGGTTTTTTGACCTTATATGCATTCAGTATATCCCTTTAGAGACTTCTATTGCAAACATTTTCATACCAAAATCAATGATGTAGTACAAAAATTGAAGTTAGAAAACTGAACAGAGTACTGCAAACACATTTTTAGTACGGGGTGCAAACTCACGAGAAATGCTAGGCCGACCTTGGGGTTGGGCTGGGGCTTGCGTACCAGGCCATACAAAGTGTTAAATTAATTTTGTTTCATCATTATTTTCTCATAAAATATTATTCAATAAGCCAATTTTCTAATCATCCTTGTGAAATATTTCAACAGAGCTAAAATTTCAATTATTGCAGACTTTGAAACTTAATTTGTGGGGCCAGAACACTACCTGTTGCAAGAACAGCAGTAAAAGTTAGCTATGAAGAAATTCTCAAGTTTCAGGATATACAAGAAATATATTAGACCATCTTAAAAGGGGCACTAATTTGTTAAAAGCCTTTGATTATTTGAAGCCTTCTCATTTCTTTTCTTCAATAATTTAGTTTTTCTAAGTTAATTAGTATAAGTATAATCTTAATTCGAATTTGTGGTAGATTACAGTGTTTTATCTCTTTTAATACAGTACAGTATGTTGACTTGTTTCTACAGTTAAAGGCATCATATAAACTTATCTGTATATTTTGGAAAACCATACAAAATTTAGCAAGTTCAGTGAAATGCATATGTATTTACTCAATGGGAAGAAATGCACATTGCTAAAGTATAGCACAGTCACTCTGCTATTCTAACATATACAGTAACTACTTAAGATTATTCATTTTCCATTTTTAAATATAATCCATGATATTAATGTTCATCTTGTGCTGGTGGTCTCTTTAAATAATTCATGAAAGTTTTTGATTTCTGGTGAAGGAGAAAGAGGTGACGTGATATGTAGTTGGTCTCAGCAACGTAGCAATAGGACCGTCACCTAAGTGATTATTGCCTTGTACAGTATCTCCTTTTTTACTGACTCTTGGTTTGATGGCTTCCTCAAGGTTCTTTACACAGCTGACTCCATTATATGCAGGGTTTTATTTAATACTGTACGTTCCCACACCGAGGAGATATGTTGTGCTCTGAAATTTATTTTTGAATTATTTTTCTAGCAAGAAGTGAAGGGTACAAGTTAGAAGTTAGGTTATTTGTATGGTTACTTAAGAACTTTTTTTTTTGGACACGCTTTAATTTATTTGATCAACGTTTCAGATGAATTCAATGAGTATTTTATTGTTTTGTGTACTGGTCAATTTTAGTTTGTATACATGTGCAACATTCAGGTATACAGTAATTATTTTAATTTTCTTTTTCTTTATCTACTTTTTCTTTCAGATAGGTCCAGATAAAATTAAACAATTTGTTTATAAATTAAGAATTAGAATGGGAATTTTGTAAATTTAATATTTGTTAATTAGAAAAAGAAATTAAAGCAATTATTTTATATTAATAATTAAAGATACATACTGTATTAGACAAAATATACATGACATTTGAGGAACATTATAATGAAATTAAACTAAACTTTTCCTCTAAATTAATTATTGAGACGAGTAAAAATTTTCTTTACCTGTTTTGCAATTTATTATACTGTATCGTTATTGGGATATTAAGCCACTCCCCAGCCACCTTAGGAATTAGCATAACCTCGCCGCTCCCTCCTTTCTCCCCAGGCGAGGCACGATATTGGTGACGTGTGGCGGACAGTGCAGGTGTGTGGATTGGGTCCTGCAGGCTTGTGGCTGACCCTTTCTATTTTCTCTAAAGTTGTTTCCTTTCCAAATATCCAGATTTTATTTGCTTTCCTTTAACCATATTAGTTTTTTATGGCGTTATCGTGATAGCAGAAAGAGTATTGGTGTTTTTTTCACTACCTCTTAAGTTTACGAATCAAACCTCTACCGATGTTCAATATTTGGCAGATAACTTGGGGGATTGTTACAGGTGAAAATAGGGATCATTACAGATAATTATTTTTTTCAGTTTCAGTTTTTCTTTCTTAAAACTATAATTATTTGCCAAAAGTATGCAAATATATTGAATCATTGCTTTATCTTTATATGAAACAGCTTTCCAAGCTCTAGTAGAAATTGTCTCTGCCTTATATTGAGCCATCTGTCAAGGTTTTTCTTTTAATTTGATACATAGTGCAACCTTGTTAGTTATTTGGAACTGTGAAGACTAACTAGATTTAAATAATTCAGTCACACGTACTGGAAAATTTGTCTATAAAGGACCACCAGTGCACGATTGCATTGTCAAAGCTGATGCTTAGTAGAACTTGTCGAATACTTTACAAGAAGTATTAGTCGAATGGTTGTCACTGGAATGTACAGTACTTTGATATTATTTCATTAGGCCTTCAATAAGGAACTGGCAAGAGCAACAAGAATAGGACTTGAGAATCAGTTTAGCTCGCATTGCTATGGGAATTCCCGTTCGTTTTCCTGGAATATACTGCAGTACTGTTGTTTGTTTTGGTTTGCTTGTTATGGTTTATTGAAATATTCCAATTGTATTACTAGTTTTTGTATCCCATTTCAAGTAATTTCATCATGGTTTGACAATGCATATCTGATACAAACAATGTTTAGTTGTTGGCATGGCGCAGCCCTCTAGCCTCTTACAAGTCTGCATGGCAGCTTTATTTAATAGTATTTTCTTTTCAGTTTCATCCTGTATTTGTCTGGCTTCAATTAGAAATTTAATATCAGTAGTTATGTTTATATTTACTTATAATGGATTGTTACCTATAGATTAAGATTTATACATGAATTTGATTTTTTTTTTTACTGTACTGTAAACATACAAATGTGAAAGTAATATTTGAAATCTAGTGTACTTGAGCACAGGTGTATGAATAAATTTTATTATGGGGATCGATTGCTAGGATAAACAGACTGCATGGATCACTAACTACTGGAATCATGAACTGCTGGGGAACATTGATATCTGGGGACACTCCAAAAGCTGGGGAACACTGGGGGACACTCCAACAGCTGGTGAATAACTGGGGGACACTCCCAACAGCTGGTGAGAGTGATCTGGAGGAGGGGGAAGGATCATGTACCACTTAATAGAGGATACCTATAGTTGGATATTGGCAAGTGATCATAGCACAAATTGCAAGTGGTACCAATTACTAGGGGCACTGATAGGTAGAGTACCAAATGCTTCAGGTAATGTCGGGGGCAAGTACCGCATCGGTGCTGGTGACTGGGAGTTACTAGCAACTGCGGTCACTGATGACTGAGGGGGACACAATGACTTTTACTGGCTGCAACACTGATAACTGGGAGTTCTGATGGCTGGAACACTGATAACTGGGACTTCTGATGGCTGGGACACTGATAACTGGGAGTTCTGATGCCTAGGACACTGATAACTGGGAGTTCTTGTGGCTGGAACACTGATAACTTGGAGTTCTGATGGGTGGGACTTTGATAACTGGGACACTGATAACTGGGAGTTCTGATGGCTGGGGCACTGATAACTGGGAATTATATTGGTTGGGGCACCAGTAGTGGGGAGTTCTGTTGGCTGGGGAGTTCTGATTGCAGTGGGGAGGGCACCTGTTGATTTTGGGGCACTGATGTCTGCAAAACACTGATTGCTGGGGTATCTCACAAAATAACATGCAGTGTGCCCTAATTCAAATAGTAGGTGACATATTGACATGAGGCAAATATTGATATGAGTAAGTCTAACCTTTACTGTTTTAGATTAGCTTGAACTAAACAAGTAATTTGTTTCATCTGTATTAGCCTAATTTCCAGGTTGTTTAAATGAAACCTCAATAAAAGGCCTACACACTGATGAGAAAAGAACCATAATGCTTCAGGCTATCTGACTTAGATTGATTCTAGTAAATTAATTCTGAATGCTTTGCTTACAGCTTACACTTATTCAGCTAAATTATGAAAAGTATAAAAAACCAGCGTTTAATGTAATGAAACGCCATTTTCTGGGTGAGACCCGGAGGTTTCCCGGAGCTTACTAGGCTGATATGCTAATGTCAGACTTTAGCATCAGTCATGTGTATGGAGTTCTGTGGGCCTACCGGGGACCACGAGCCAGAACCTGGCCCCCTCAGAGAGGCATGGGGAGCAATGGCCTATTGAAACCCCCGTGTGGTTGGAAGCATTCTATGTCTGCCATCGACCGGGTCAGGCACCCAGAAAGGTAAGCATCCCAAAACAAACCCCTATTCTGGTAAAAATTTTGCTACCAAAATCCAAGAACAACCAAGAGAGAAAGGACAACACCACCTTAACAGAAAGCGAAGCACAATGATGAAGACGCAAAAAGAACCGGAAGGACCGCCAGGAAACTTCATAATGCCGCCGAGACGAAGCCCGCAGGTGGGACACTAAGAAGGAAGCCAACGGATCACCATAGAGTTGATGATAAACTCGAGTCAAAAACACCATACGCGAAGACTAGAGGAGAAGACCGAACCAACAATGTGATGCTCCGGTCCAATCTGTTGGAAGAGGTGTAGCCGTGGGAAAATCTCCGGGTTCGGACATCGGGCAAGCAGCGTCTGAAACCATGGCTGGGCTGCCCACCACGGGGCCAAGAGGACTACTCTTACCTGGTAAGTCTCCAAGCGAGTCAGGACCTGGAGCAACAGCTGAACCGGGGGAATGAGGTACAGGAACCCCCACCGCGACTAGTTTTGCCGAAAGACATCGACCCCGGAATCATGGCAAGAGATTGCCCTTCCGCAATCGGGGAAGGGCACCACATACAAGAGAAGGCGCCGCAACCACGCCAACGCCAAGAGGTCCACCTTGGGGCGCCTGAACGTCTGGCAGAGCCAATGGAAGGAGTCGGCGTCGACCGTCCATTCCGTGGACAGGGGAGTGAAACGAGACAGGCCGTTGGCCAAGACGTTGGACACTCCTCGCACGTGAACTGCCAGGAGAGCCAAACCCCGAGAACTCAGCAGACAAGTCACCCGAAGCGACCAGCACCAAAGAGCCAAGGACCGCATCAAACACCCCCCCCCCCCCAGCCGAGAGACAACGCGTCCGTGAACACATCGAGCGAGGGCTTGGGTAGGCGCCAAGGCACTGAACCCCCAAAAACCCGAAGAGGAAGTCGGCGACGCAGCAGCCGACGCAAGGCCCCCGGGGGTCGAACCCAGCGATCACGACAGAGGCGGAAGGGACGTCCCGAAGGAACCAGGACAGCCAACGAAGCCAAACTCGACCCGGTAGGTAGATCATCATCGCAAAGTTCAGGCCCCCACACAAACCCTTGAGCAACTGCCGGATGACCCGGGAGCCCCTCAGAAACAGGCGCAAATGGGACGGCAGCCGCAGGAGAGATTCTGGAGGAAGAGACAAGGATGCGGTCCGAGAGTCCCACACAAGACCCAGCCATGTCCGAACCTGGGAGGGAACCAGATGGGACTTCCTCCAATTCACCAAGAACCCGAACCCGGCGAGCTGAGAAAGAACCAAATCCCTGGCTAGCAGACAACAGGACCAGCTGGGAGCCTAAACCAACCACTCGTCAAGGTAGGCCAATACCCGAACACCTAAGAGACGCAGATGGGCCAGGATGACCTTTGCAAGGCGTGTGAACATGTGAGGTGCCAGATTCAACCCGAATGGGAGACAACGAAAGCTGTAACCTTGATGCCCCACAACAAAACCAAGCCAGTCCCTGAACTCTGGATAAATCTGGAAGTGCCAGTAAGCCAAAAAGATCCGACTCCATTCTGACTGCTCCTCGGTGGTTCATTGCCTGAACTGCGGGGGTTTGATGCAGTCCTTGGCTTTTTTAGGACTGGTCCCTTTGGGTGACTCGTCTGCTGAGTTCTCGGAGTTTGGTTCTTCTGGCCATTCACGTTCGGAGGGTATCATCCTGGCGGACGGCCTGGCGGATCATTTCCCTGTCCATGGATTGGATGGTCGATGCCGACTCATTCAGTTGGCTCTGCCAGACGTACGGGCTCCCGGAGGTGGATGTCTTCGTGTCGGCGTGGTTGCGGCGTCTCCCGTTATATGTGGCACCCTTGCACGACTGCGAGGCCATATCTGGGTTGATTCCTTCATGCAGGACTGGGCGAGGTGGGGTTACCTGTACCTCTTCCCCTCGGTTCCGCTGTTGCTCCAAGTCCTAGCTTGCTTGGAGACTTACGAAGGAAGAGTAGTCCTGTTGGCCCCTTGGCAGCCGGCCCAGCCTTGGTTTCAGGTGCTGCTTGCTCGGTGTCCAAACCCGGGGGTCTTCCCGTACCTCCGCCTCTTTCGGCAGATCGGGCCAGTCCGTTACGTAGCTGGTTTGATCTCCTCAAGTCTTTGCATGTGGTCTTTGACACGGGTCTATCACCACTTGTATGGTGAGCAGGTGGCTTTGTTGATGGTGTCCCAACTGCTGGCATCGTCTCAGTGGCAGTATGAGTTTCCAGGTGGTCCTTCCGTTATTTCTTGTCCCTCTGTAGGTTTTCTTCTGTTTAGGATCGAGTTGTCTTGCCCTTCCTTTTGTGGTTGTTTCAGGACCGTCATCTTATGCCGAATACTGTAGCCTCATTGTGTGGTGCTGGCGAAGCCACGTCAGCTAGCGTTCAAGGTGGATGGTAATTCTGCTCCGTTTCGCATGCATTGTTTCACCTTCGACCTGCTCATGCGCCGCCTGAGTCATCCTGGTCCTTGGACCGGGTGCTCTCTTTTCTCTCTTCTCCTCGGTTTGTGGTGACCCCTTCGGTTCAGGATTGTTTTGCAAAGGCTCTTTTTCCTGTTGGCGTTGGCCTCTGGGGGTCGGGTTGAGGAGCTTCATGCTCTCCTCCGGCGCAAAGGTTTTTGCTCTTTTGGTCCTGGTGGTAGGTTTCTGTGTTTGCAGCCATCTCCTTGTTTTCTGGGGAAGAATGAGACTGCTTCTTTCCGGAAGGGTACTTGGGTTGTTGATGCTTGGTTGGTTCGACCGGGGGTGCATCATGTGTTGTGTCTGATTGCGGCTCTTCACCGTTACCAGCACACCACAGCCTCGGTGGCCGGGGACGAGCTTTGGGTTGACCCGGTTTTTCTTCTCTGTTCCAGAGTTTGGGTCTCCAAGGTCGTCCTCAGGATTATTGAATCCAGCCAGCCTGTGGTCTATCCTCGTGCCCATGATGTTCATAAGTTTGCTGTGTTGGCTGCCATCTTTCGTAACATGTTTTGGGCTGACATTTGGGCATGGGGTTTTTGGAGGCTGAACAGGGTCCTGGCCGCTCGCTACCTAGTCAGTGTTGCTGGCCCTAGTCAGGCATGTGTCGCATTGGGTTGGCAGTTGCACAACTGGCTCGGGGTTTGTTTTGGTGCGCCTTTCTTTCTGAGTGCCTGACCTGGTCGATGGCAGACATAAAATGCGTCCAACCACAAGGGGGTTTCTATAAGCCATTGCTCCTCGAGCCTCTCTAAGGGGGGTCAGGTTGTGGCTTGTGGTCTCAGATAGGCCTCAAAACTCCATTCGCTTGACTGATGTCAGGGTCTAACACATTCATATCAGCCAGATATCTCCGTGGAGCCTCCAGGTCTCACCCAGAAAATGGCGTTTCATAATATTCAATGCTGTTTTTTTTTTTTTTTTTGCTTTTCTAAATTTGAATGCTTTGCAACCTCAGTAAGTAATAACAGCAAGTAATGCTGCTATGTTTTTTATGTTTTTGGCAAAGTTCCCTCTAGTTTCTGTAGCTTTGCTGCATTTCACGAATCAACCCAGTATATTCTTCAATACTAGAATTCCTGAAGTTTACTTTTTAAGCTTCTTCTTTTCATCTTGAAGCTCTTATACCTGGCAAGGACCCCGATCAGTAGCTCCCATAGAGCTAAGTGCTGTTCGTTCCAACCAAACCTTAAGGAGATGCTCCTTGCCTCTGAGTCATGATTAATGTTGATTCATTGTTGAGTCAATGTCATATTTTCTCTGTCATTGAAGATTTTGAATAATTAACTTTTTTTAAGCAATTGTAGATTTTAGGAGATTCCAATTTTATGATTCTTGATAATTTGTACTGTACTCCAATGTTATTAAACCCAAGTCCTTTTATTTATCTTATTTCTATTATGTAGCACTTATCCACATTGAATTCCATCAACCATATTTTTGTGCCATTTACTTAATTAGTCCTAGCTTATTTAAAAGATTTTAGTCATTTTGGTTTCTTACTCTACACAAAATAATTATTGTCGTGTACATGTACTTATTTGCATAATTATTGCATAAATCAAAAACATAATTAGGGTACTAACGGCCTGACGGCTAAGTGGACAGTGCTCGGGATTTGTAGTCCTAAGGTTCCGGGTTCGATCCCTGGCGGAGGCAGAAGCAAATGGGGCAGAGTTTCTTTCACCCTGATGGCCCTGTTCACCTAGCAGTAAACAGGTACCTGGGAGTTAGACAGCTGCTATGGGCTGCTTCCTGGGGATGTGTAACAAAAAGGAGGCCTGGTCGAGGACCAGGCCGCGGGGACGCCAAGCCCCGAAATCATCTCAAGATAACTACAGTATTAGTCCTTAATAGACCCCCACAGTAGTAGTGTTTCCCCCCATTCTGATAATTAACCTCCTATCACTATTCATATATTAATATTTTTTTAAGACAAGACAGTTTCCATCCCTTTCAGTAATATTCCTTTATTATAAAAACTATTACTGTACAGGTATTTTGAAATTCTAAACTAGGCTTTTATAAATAACTTTGTTAAAAATCATGTTTAAAATCCAAATAAACTAAATCCATCTATCTATTTCTTGAATAATTTTTCAAGGAAACTTATTAGATTATATATGTAGGATCTTATTGAACCTCTTAAGTATTTTACACACCATTTTACTGGATTCTTTCAGCATCTTGAAAACAATGCTTGTTAACACTTTCGCGCTATCTGGACGCGCCGGCGCGTTCGGTTTCGTCTAACGTAAACGCATAGTGGACATAAAGTTATGTCTACTTTTAAAATATTTGTATAAAATTCAATTTTTATCCGATTTACTTTGGGTTTGTTTCAAACTGCGCGCTATGAGGCTCTCTTTCTCACCACTAGGCTGCATGGTACAATAAGTTCATGAAAGGTGTGGATAACTTCGATCAAATGGTGTTTTGTCCCAAACGGGTTGCAGGTGGGTGACTTTAGCCGTTTATACTGGTAATTCTTCCCCCATATCATGTATTATATGCATATGTCTGTTTAGGGAATTTTATTCCGATCAATATACAACCAAAAATAACTGTGTGCAACAAGTATAATCTTGACAAACATAACAAAAGTAAAAATATTTCGTGTGTGTTTGACGCTCACTGATATGTTCCAGCGTTGTTTTATATTTGTCGCTATTCTAACTTACGCTTTGTTGATATTTTTTACCTATGGGCACATAGAACATTCTATTGCGAACACATTGACATAAAAATGAATGACGTACATAGAAAATTAATGTCATGAGAGTTAAATAAGTATAAACTTTCAAAGCGCCGTGCGTCGTCCCGTCACCGATACCGGGTAACAATTTCACCACTTCCCACACTCTTGCGGGCGGGCTGCATCATTATTCTACGCTTATATTCATATCACCGTGTTGGGAATTTCATTGCGAGTCCATTGATACCAAAATTAACGCTGTAGAACAAGTGTGGAGGTGATTACAATCCCAAGAGTAAAAACATTTTGTTGCTGATGGGCGCTCACGGCGAGTCATCTACGTAGTTATTTATTTGGTGCTGGTATCCCTATATGTTTCGTGACTTATTTTACTAATGTTCTTCTAGAGAATTTTATTGCGAACACGTTGGTACCAAAATGAAATACATAGCATGAGAACTAAGGTCAGAAGAGTAAAAAGAGTATACACATTTTTGTTTTTACGCTTAAGCGATAAAAACGCAGCGCGCACATTCGGTTGGCTGAGTGACCTTTGCGGAGAGCGCGAAAGTGTTAATGAGACAGGCCTATAACTTAAAGGCTCCTTCCTACTCCCCACTTTATGGACATTATAATTGCCATTTTTCATTATTAAGTTATTTCTGTCATGGAATGATACCCTGAAGCAGGTAGTCGTGTAATTACCTAAGTGTAGGTACAAGATGAAAGCTACGGTCGTGGTGTCCCGTCTTTCCAGTACTCTTTGTCATATAACGCTTTGAAATTACTGACGGTTTTGGCCTCCACCACCTTCTCCCCTAACTTGTTACAACTGTCTACCACTCTATATTTTGTGTGTGTATGTGTGTGTGTGTGTGCACGTGCGTGAAGAGGCCTGTCATAGTGTGTGATAATGTGCGTGTTTTTGCCTTTATGTATAAATGCTTGCATGTACTTTCAAATAATGTATTATCCACATCACAAATGTTAACACTGACTACAGTAATTAGTATACAATGGCAATTTTTCCTCAGTTAGACTATATAATGTAGTGCTGTTTGTACTATTGGGGCCAAAGAATCCATGATGGTAATAGGAAATTGCAAACAAAGAGGTGAATAATATAGACAATATATTTTTCTTTATCCTTAATAAGATATGGCTGATTGTCATGTAATAAGATATTGCTGATTGTACTGGTACTGTATATAATGCCATATACAGTTATACAAAATATAAACTATTTACTGTGTTGATATTTTATATTTTGTTTCAACTTAAATTTTGTAGAAGTAAGCTTTGACACATTTAAATAATACTTATGGCCATTCATTGCTAAGGTACTAGCACATACTAGCATTGTTTAAAATTCATCAAAATATCATTTACTTCATTACATTACATATTCTACTGCACAATTGCATATTATAATACTTGTTGCAGATGCTCGGCTAACCTGGTTCTTCATTTATCCACAGCATCGAGGTTGGGGTGTAGAGACTGCATCTGAACGCTTGGCAGAAATTTATAGCAAGCAGGCAGAACTGTGGGAGCAGGTATCTCGTCGATCATCCCTCCAGGCTCTCTCTCTCGCATCGGCTTCCCCAAGGTTAGTCATTAATGCTGACAAACATAAACCTTCCTAAACTAAGATTATTTGTCATATTTTTCTGATACATATTGGTAAAACATAAAGGTGAACCAGAAACCCAATACTGTACTGTAATCTCTATTTTTGTGTCCAGGATGCATTCCTGGAAATATGGACTTAATTTTATGGGAAAACAAGTTTTAATTTAACTGTATATAGTGGAGATATATATTTATTGGAGGAAAATATAAATAATTTTTTTAAACAATTCATGAAATACAAATGTTATGCTTAATCAAACATTAAATAAGGAGCCATGATAACAAAGCATAGGATATATATATAGCAAATATTTAAGGAGCATTTATTACTGGTTTAATATACAACAGCCAGTGATTGACAATTTCTGCTGCATTTCTACAAAAGTTCATTTTGAAGAATAAACCTGCTATTAGAAATTATATGAGGCTTTTATAGAATTCATTTAGTTTATCTTTATATATGGTAGATTGTTATTACAGTATTTATATATGCTCTATGAATAATTGTTGTACAGCAGGCCGATCAGCAAGGCAGAGAAGGAGATTGAAAATTCTCGAAGATCGTCCCCAATCAAGCATAGCAAATCCTCACGTGAACGTCCCAGTACTGCACCGCCCAAGCCAAAACCTGCTGCTGTGCATGTGAGTAAATTGCTATCATGGTATATCTTATCTTGAATATATTAAGAATGTTCTAGTTACTAGAGAATTGTATTGAATTTATACATTGGCAGTCAAAAATAATATTAAACAGTGTAATCTGTATGGGATGCCTTAAATTTCCCTTTCCACGAGGGATTATTTGTTTATTTCACAAATTCATTACAAATGCAAAATTACAGAAGAAATCAACAAAGCTGGCAAAAAGTTATTTGTAAAACCCACAACTTCTAGAACAAGAGTCAAGACTCAAGCTTTGAAAAGAAAGGTGCCAAGAAACACATGCAAGTTTTCTTTTGTAAACAGAGTTGTTGACGGTTGGAACAATTTAAGGTGATGGAATGCCAAAACCATCAGCAGTTTGAAAGTGTCACATGCCAGAGATTATTGGGAAGGCGGGACACCTCAAGCTTAGTTCTCATCCTGTAACTTCACTTAGGTACTGTAATTACTTTAATTACTGTAATTACTTTAATTACTGTAATTAGTACTGTTATTACTGAGTAGCAAAGTATCAGATTTTGAAGGGCTAGTGAAAGAATTATGCAAGGGCAAGAATCACTAGGAAGCTAAAAGCGAAGCCCTGGAGGAAGAAAACAAAGTATTGAAAATAGCTTTTGAAGAAGTTCAAGGAAATTTAAACACGAGTGAATACAATAAGTTAGGAAAGGAAGTGTAATAGGATTTTTTTTTTTTTTAAAGTACAGATTGAGAAAGTAATAGAAGAAATAAGGAAATAATAGAAGAAGCAGTAAAGGAAGCCAGAAATGGCAGAAATCAGAAAAGCACACTTATTAGACTGGAGGTTAGAAAGGAACTGGCATCAAACCCAGAAACTGGTGCAAAACTCTGGAATGTTAGGAAATGACTTGAATTTACACTAGGGCCGCTAACACTATCTTGAGGTTATCTTGAGATGATTTCGGGGTTTTTAGTGTCCCCGCAGCCTGGTCCTCGACCAGGCCTCCACCCCCAGGAAGCAACCCGTGACAGCTGACTAACACCCAGGTACCTATTTTACTGCTAGGTAACAGGGGCATAGGGTGAAAGAAACTTTGCCCATTGTTTCTCGCCGGTACCTGGGATTGAACACGGGACCACAGGAGCACAAGTCCAGCGTGCTGTCCGCTCGGCCGACCGGCTCGATTGTGGCCTCGACTAGTGGCCTTAATGAGGACAGAAAGCTGGTGGTGCGTCAAAGGTCCCCCATTTGCAAAGATTTGCATTACAAAGTGATGAGGAGGTGAAATTATGGTCATTAAGACAAGATCTTACAAAGGAAGACAGAGCAGCTGAAACTGAACCTCATACAGACAAAATGTCTAAAATGAGAGCAGGAACTAAGAAATATATATTTTTTTCCACAAGGTAATAGGGGTATGCAAAAAGGCAAACCAACAAAAATCACTAGAGAAAAGGGGGGAATAAAGAACAAGGGGAGAGGGAACATGTTTCTGAAAATTGTACACACATAGATGGAGTGAGATAAAAAATAAAAAGATAGGGTGGTTTTGGATAACAAGCTGTTGCAAGAGGAACATTCAAAGAACATTGTCAGAGGAGCATATGTGTTGCTTTCCATCTTCAGACTTGTTTTTAATTATATGGATGGTGAAATACTAAAAAAACTGTTCATAACTTTTGTGAGACCAAAATTGGAATATGCAGCAGTTGTGTGGTGCCCAAATCTCAAGAAGCACATAAATAAACTGGAAAAGGTGCAATGGCATGCTACAAATGACTTCTGGAACTGAAAAACAACAGTTATGAAGAGAGACTAGAGGCATTAAACATGCCAAAACTAGAAGATAGAAGAAAAAGAGGTGATATGATCACCACTTACAAAATACTCACAAGAATCTATAAAACGGACAAAGAGGAATTTGTGAAACCAGCAATTTCACGAACAAGAGGACACAGATTCAAGCTAAGGGAAAAAAAGTGATAAAAAATTATTAGAAAGTTTTCTTTTGCAAACAGAGTGGTAGACGGTTGGAACAAGTTAAGTGAGAAGGTGGTGGAGACCAAAGCCATCAGAAGTTTCAAAACATTATATGACAAAAGTGCTCTGAAAACAGGACACCATGAGCATAGCTCTCATCGTGTAACTTTACTTAGGTAATTACACACACACACACACACACACACACACACACACACAGTGCAAATAGTACAAAGACCCACAATTTATCAACATTTTTTCAGACACAAAAACCATCAGACAAGACGGATGGGAAGACTTCCAAGGAATCAACGCCACGTCACCACTATGAACGAACTACAGGAACTACAGGTGGGATATTGAATGTGGTGAACAAGAAACAACTACCAAGATTTCAAAACACTTTCCATTTCCCCTTCTTCACTTGTGTTGCTGACAGTGTTGACAGGCATTTTGTTTTGTTGAATAGGTCTTTGTGATGGTATTAAACTTAAATTCCTTTGTTTGTTTAATATATATCTGTTTTTTTCCATTTAATACAAATAAACACGGAAGCAGAGATATGTAGACTATAAAATGTAAATAAGGATTAAGTGTATGTTCCCCGTAGTTGTAGCATGGTGTGCATGGTACGTCCTAAAAGGTTTTCTTCACCGTCAAAATGTAGGTAGAATTTTGTGGGATTGCAAACCAGCACTATATTTGTATAATGTAAAAGCATAAATTGCAATTTTTCAAAATATTGATGATTCTTTTTCCCAGTACATGATTAACAAGGCCTTTTGCTGAAACTTGCAGACCCCCACATATTTCTGCCTCATGGACCCAAAACTCGTTTTCTGTTATACTTGCCTCGTGTTAGTTGACCGTTTTCTGTGTTGTGGTCTCAGAGGAGGGTCTTTTGATCACTTCGCCATCACGTGACAAGCTCGAACCATTCATCCCCGATGATTGGTCCTCCCGCCGTTCATCAAGAAGGACTCCACCAATCACAAGCCCTATGAAAGGTAGTGTCATGTTTCTCTGAATGTATTAATCCATTCAGAATTCAGGCATTTTATTTTTTGTTCATTGCTTAATCTTGTTCATGAATAGTATTTGCATCGTTATGTTGGAATTTTGAAGCTTAAGTTTTTATATAATGGAAGCCACACAACAAGTATCACTGTATATTGAATGACTTCTAGTAATTGCAAGGTAAGTAAATTAGTATATATTAAACAATTATAGCACTTGTGTCATTTTAATAATGAATGTTTATATTTCACAGCCATTTAATGTGTGTGGCATTCTCTGCTTCCATAAAATTGGAATGCTCAGTAATTGCATTGAGGCTATGAATAAGCTTATTGTGAATGATTAGAATGTATTTATTATTGTATATTTATTTCAGGTGAACTTGAGGCTAATTGAATATTGCAATGTGGGGGCAGTGTTGGGCTTATTGATACATGGGTCAAACAAGCAGGAGAGCGCCAAACAGCGTGCCAGCTCACTGTTTTGTCTTAGTCCAGCTTATAGCATGATATGAATGTTGCAGATCTCTTCCAGGCAGTGCACAGTCACAGAGAAATATAGGCAGACAAAATTCTGGAAGGTCATACTATAAAATCAGATATTTTCAGGAACAGGAATGATAAAATTCAAATGAAAATGTAAATGATGAATCTAATTTGTATTAATTGGCAAATTTAGTAATTATAATTAAAACCTAAGAATAAATTACTTATTTTATTATGAATTTGTTGTTTTGAATGTACAGTATACCACAGATTTGTCTAAAGTTTTTAACCAAGCTTTTCCTAGCTAGCATGGAGGTATAAAGTATAAAAAATATACATACATACAGTATATACATATAAACCCTAATAGTTTTAGCTTATAAGATATACATATTGCAACCTAGAGAAATGTGTAGTAGCAGTTAGTCTATATAATTGCTAGTCATTTTCTTCTTTAAAAAGTCTCTTGTGCAACAGCAAAACACACAAGTTTGTTTTTAAAGAAAGAGTGAATCAGTGTGTATGCCTTAGGATTGCAATTCTAGGTTACTCCAATATATCCAAGGCCTGTTTCCTATGCTCTAATCTTGACTTAAAAGAGTTCTAAATACAGATATTAACATGATTAATAAGTTTCGCGGATGCAGGCGTAGTGTAGTGTTGTTTAAATCGTAATTTTTTTGAAGTTTTCAAACTTTTTTAAATATAAATAGTTCTTAGTGTTATTCTTGCAAACACATGACTTCTAAATTATTCCCAGTGTTATCGGTTAATCTATCTTCAATTTTAGAATTTATACAAATGCACTCATTCATTACATGAGGTGCTACAGTAACCTGTAAATGGCAATCTTTCTTTCCTACGTGTCTCTACTCTCCCACCTTTGCACCGCCTGGTAGAAAAACCTTTGCCTTGCATGTCCCGCCCCTGTGTTTCAGATGGCCCAAGCAGACGAAGGTCGTACCGAGCCTCTTCCGCAGCAAGACCTCCCCCAACCAAGGACTGTAGGTCCTCTGTAGGTATGACCCTGGTGCCCTATTTCCTCATAGAAGGCTGTGTGACATTGATTTCATTCAACTAGAAATTGGAGACTTTATTATGGTTTTGAAAATATATTTTTGCACAAGTATTGTGTATTCCTGGTAATGGTCAATACAGACATTATTTGTCTTTTTGAATTCATCACTGTAACATTACTAAAGATGCACTTGATTTCAACTAGTCTCTTGCGTATCAGACTTCCTGCCTCATCATCAGCAGGTAATGATTTTGATGACAATAGCAGCCCCATGTGCCTCCTTAGCTAAGAACTAGCTGGAGTTCTAGGTACCAGTTGAAACACGCTGGAATCCTAAGCACCAGCTAGGCACCTATCAAACCCCTTGCTACCCCCCTTATGGATTTGCTTGATAAAAATAATCCATACCCTAAAAGTAAGCTGTGTTCAAGTGTCAAAAGCTAAATTTAATTAAACTCTATGAAACATCTTGGTATATAATCTTAGTATGTAAAATAAATATATATAATGTTTAAGCTTAGTAGTCATTAAGGTTATCTGGATTGGTATTGAAACATTATTTAAATACATTAACTGGTTTAATATAAGGTGTTTCATAATTCTATGACAGTCACAGCTTTCTTTTAGATTAGCATCCCCCTACTGTTTGCCAATTTGAGTATGATCAGTCTCCTAGCCACAACTTTAAGGTAGAGTATGGTTAAAAAACTTCTCTCTCTTTCTCTCTCTCTCTCTCTCTCTCTAAGCATGACTCTCCACAAACTGTAGACTACTGTATTTAACATTTCTTGCCTCTTTATTAACTGTCTCAAATATATATTTTGCTGATTAAATAAATAAATATACAGTATATACTAGTATACTAATATATATAGAATGTCATACCTAATATCTAGAACTGCACTACCAGTACTGGGCCTAGTATGCAAGGCCTGAAATGGCTAACAGGCAGAGCAATTTTTGTTATTTTTAAATATTACAAAATTGGTTCTTTCCTAACAATATTAATATACGATATTAGGAACATGAACTTCTAATTAGTTATGCTCGTTTAAGTTAGATTAGATTTGATAAAATTTGTTAGTTTTAAATCAAATTAAAAAATTTAAGTCATGTATAATGTAATGCAAAGCTTTATCATTCCATAGGAAAAATGTTTGAAAAATGTAATATTTCAGGAAACTTAGGCTTGTTAGACAACTTGGCCTGTTGGGAACAACCTACATACATTTATTATATATTATTTATTTATATAATTTTGGGATACCACTTTTGGTGCTGGATTTGTGGAGTCTTGGTGGCTCCCTGAGCTTCTAGTCTTGGTTGACTCCAAGCATAAAGTACCCCACAAGGGCTTTTGTGTCAAAAGTACCAACTGAGGGACGAGAACCACAACCTGGCCCTATCAACAGAGACAAGGAGTCTGGGAATAATAAATAAAGCCAGGCCAAAAGAACAAGTAGCACGGAAAGGTAGAGAGCGCCCCAAAACAAACAACTGCATGGTAACATTGGTAGCCCTGACACAAAATATGTACACACCCAACTGGTAGTTACTCCCCTCCCCCCCTCCCACCACCAGATGGTACCCCTGGCAACTCAGGGGGTTCCCCTGTCTGCTACCCCCCAGTCAGATATGCTCCACTGAAAACTTACCCCAAAGATCCTTTAAAAGGAGGGAAGGGTAGGAAAGGAAGGCCACTGAAGGGAAACACCACAATGAGACATTTCATTATTGTACATTAAATAATAGATTTATGAAAATGTTCCCTTCGGTGACTTGCGGAGCCACTGAGGCAGCCTTGTTAAGGTGGCTCTTCTCCAGGTTTTTATTTCTGGCTTTTGGTTTAGGGAGCTTCCCACTCATCTCAGAACAAGTGATGTCTCTTCCTTCAGGTCTAGTCATTGTCTACTCTTCTATCTTTCTCCTTCGTTTTATACCAAGATGGGTTTTTTTGGGGTCATAGATACTTGGTTTGTCTAGCCAGCAGCACATCATCCAGAACGTTGTTCAGCATAACCAGCTGGTAGTTTAACTCTGCTCTCATGACATGCAGAAGTTTGTTGCTTTGTCAAAAAGAAGTTGGTCAAGAGAAGAAAATGGCAAAATATGTATTCTATTGAGATTTGCATTCTGTGGGCTCCCAACACTTACATGGCACAACAGCTTGGGGTCGACTCAGGTACCATATATATATATATTTACATATATATATTTATATATATAAACTCTTCAAAAATCTGTTAACCCCCTAATAATACTAACACATTATATTGACAACATGAACTTAGCTATATTAAGCAGCACCAAGAAATAATCGGCATACAGTATTTAGGTTAGGTCAGGCTTCTTAGTTTTATTAAAATTAAAAAAAAAGAGAAAATCATGCATGTATATAAAATTCAACTATTCCATTAGATTACTTTTTTTTTTTAAAGTTTAATATACAGGTATAAGAAAATTCTGCATTTGTGTGTGTATATTATTTATTATTAAGCTTATAAGAATACTATTACAAGTCATTACCTACAGCTTTTAATATATTATCTTGATTATTTGGCCTGCAAATTGGAAGCAGGATTATTTGCAGTGTATTTCCTTCGTCATAACGTATTACAACTCATCCATTTATTATCTTGTGTGTAGGTTAGACTGGACTGTTACCTCTTATACAAAAATATTTAATGAAATCCTAGAATAGTTACACTACATTTTTTTCCACTTAATATGCCTATTGTTTTTTAAATCTTGACAAGCATGTATTTATGGTATAAGTTTCCAACAAAGAGTGCACTTTTTTCATGCCCATACTGCACATTACAGCACTTTGAATATTTTTCAGGTATTCTCACATTATTTGCAAACTGCACAATTAATGCACATTTTTTGCTCGCCGACTTCCATTTAATATATGTATCTTTATGCATGACAAATCCATTTTACAGGGGGTCGGTCTGTCAGTGTTGGTCCTGAAAATCGGTCTCCCAAGCGAACATCCCGCCCACCATCTACCCATGCAACAGCTCCCGCAACCAAACCTGAGCGACGTCCACGACCTAGTAAGTGCATTTCTGTTTGAAATATTTTTAATAATTGCAGTGAAAATGGTATTGAAAACCATAAGGGATGCTGATTGTGGATGAAGGATTGGTATTTTGTCATCTCTGTACTATATTATTAAAAGCTCTGTGTTATGGGAGACTTTGCGGATAGATCAGTTTGAATACATATTGAGGTTGTTTACATATAAGTATTGTACAGTATGCATTAATTTCATTGGTGAAATTTTTTTTAATATTACAGCCACGATAAACAAGACAAAAACTAATTTTGCTACAGTAGATTCCCGGTTTTATGTAGAGGAAATGAATGTAAACTGTTTTTTATGTGAGCTATGCTTCTCGAGGCATAAATTGAGGCCATATTTGGTTTAATTTGGTTAGCAACTTTTTTATGCAAGCAATTTGTGTGATAATTCTAGTCATTGGTACCGTTAGTGTTGTTTTTTTCTGGCCATTTTCTTAAAAAGTTCTTTTAAATGTATAAATATTAAATTTATTATTGTTTATCCTTAAAGCATAATTATTTAATTACTGGCAGAAATTCAACTGTGTTCATATCACAAGCAATGAAAATTGAGACATTTTTACCAGAATAAATGGGTATTGCACTCTACAATATTGTGTTGTTTAAGATTTAGAGAAAAAAAACATTACTTGCATTAAATTGTGCGGTATTGCGGTTATTGTAGTACATTAGTGTTATATTTTGTGTAATAAAGCTATTGATTCTGGAATGGTTGCTATTTGTTTCATATAATAAAAGATCTGTAATTAAATGCTATGCAGATTGCTTATAAGTGATGTGTATGTAAATGCAAACCCACATAAAACCGGGATTAATGGGCTGTATTAACCTTTTATGAAGTCTTTTTCGATTCATTGGCATAACACCTTGGAAATTATAGCATACCACCTCTTTTAATGTCATTATTTGTTAAAGGTTTTGTACCCTGTGGTTAGAAATCATGTTTTTTAATGTAGTACACCAGTCAATCACCTAAAAGGATGCTTCCTCCTCTACTTCAGCATCCTTTACTTTTATGTCAAAATATTGTAAGATGATTATGGTTCAGAATATTTATAAGTGATTGATTGCATGGTTTATAAGTTAAATTATAAATCAGTGATTGAGTGATTGTGTTAGGATGTAAAAATTTGACTATTTGGACTAGGTCAGTTTGCACAGTCTTCACCTGGATTCTACTGTTATTATTATTATTTGTATGAATTGAATGCTTTTATGATTTTACAGTATCTGGCAATTTGTTGAATCTCTTCTGTCTGTATGAGGACTTTTGTTTTTAGTGATACTTAAAAAGTGCATAGCTAGTGAGTGTGCTTCTGGCTTTTACAGATTTTTTTGTTTACATAAGAACAAGGTTACTTTCAGTCTTTAGATTACAAATTACAGTATACAATAAATTCATTTTTTTTTCAAATTAGCAGTATCTATATTCAATGGTAATTAATGAACCAAGGAAAACAATTATTTATGTGGTTGTATACTTAAATTGTATGCACACAAATAACAGATTACTGTTGAAACTAATATTCTATGTTAAACGTTCTATTGGATTACGTACCTATTGAAGAATTAACTGATGTCAGTTCTTTTCTTGTTAAATTGCAGCTAATATAATTAGTTTTAAATGTTAAAAAATTCACCCAGGCTTCATTGAAATAAAATGTATCATTTGATAAAAATTATTGCTTCTTATGAGGGCAATATTTTTCTCCGAATAATCTTTGGTGGTAGGTTCAATAATGCCAGAAAACGGAGTTATTAAAAAAACGTCATTAAAACAAGTACATTCATCATTAGTTTAAACAAGGCTATTTTGCTTATCAAATGTTTGAGTTGCCCCTACAAATTACATTGTCTTGTCAATTCAGTGAGCAGTTGTGTATGTTCCATCATTATATTTCCCTTGAAATGAAGGTAAAATGTGGATACAGTTTCAAAGAAACCAGTTGCCGGTTTAAGAAGAAATTGTACTATAAACTCTGCAAAAATATCAGATGTTTGGATCTAGATTATTTTACAGCACCAAAGATATTACTAATTATTTTTTAGTTAAAATTGGTGATTAAAATTAATATGTGTACGGTATATGTGTATGTATGTATGTATGTATGTATGTATGTATGTATGTATGTATGTATGTATGTATGTATATATATATATATATATATATATATATATATATATATATATATATATATATATATATATATATATATATATATATATATATATGTATGTATATATATATATATATATATATACACACACTATGACATTACTATACATTTAACATTAAAAACAAACCAATTCATTAATAGATACCACAAACCAAATTGATAACTATTGCAAATCAAACTCCTCCCTTAACTCCACTGAGGTTGGATGCGTGTCTAGCATGCAGCAGGCATTTTCCCTCTGGACTGTAATACCGAGGTGTTGGAACAAAAAGCGTGTTGCTCTTTCGACTTTTGTCAAGTTAATTAGTTTGTCACCCAGTTCCGTCAGGCATTTCAATGCACATTCCCTCACAAACAGGGTTTCTGAGCCGATCAGAACAATTAGGCTGTAGCAATGTGCCAGACCTCGGTATTCTATGGCTTTATGCGTTTCCTTGAAAGAAGCAATGCCACCCCCTTCGATGGCCAGTACCTATCTTCAATACAGTACTGTGCAAATTTGGATGTGCATGTTCCATACCACTAATTTGCCATCCTTCCAGGGAAGCATGGTAATCCTGTCTGAACACTTCTGAGTGTCTTTGGGTATGTATAGGTGTGGTTCTCTTTGTGCTATGCAGCAGGCTGTGGCAAGTCTCTCCATGATGATGATGACTTCTTCTTGTCTTGCAATCTTACCCTGCAATTTACGACATCAGATTGTATTGCCCACTTTTGCAGAGGGACTTGTGTCTGGGGTGAGGATGGGGGCGGCAAAGCGAGGGCTACTCCAATATGAAGAACGTTGTGATTAAGGCGAGATGGTGGAGGATGGGAAGGTATCTGGGGTGGGGGATGAGTAGGTGATGGGGATGGAATAGAGGAGCCTTGAGGGAAGTGATCACATGTGTGGATGGTAGGAAGGGAAGTGAGATAGCTAGCAACTCATTTTGTCATGTCAGCCAGTAGTAAGCAACCAGCCAGGTTGCTGGCTGGTTGGAATTTTTTTTTTAGGAGTTTGCCAGGCATGGATGGGTAGGTGTGGGTACCAGGAGCAGGTGGGCATGAGTGCCAGCTATGGATGTGGGGTCTGGAAGCAGGTGGGCTTCTGGCAGTCCAACCAAGTGTTGGTTTCTTGATTTTTGGTGGTTGTCCTGTGGTCTTGTTATACTTGTGTATTGCTTGGGCATTTGGCTGGTGCTCATACTATTCTGCCCCTTGCTGTCTTTCCTGCCATCCCCTACAAATAAGCCCAGTCTATCTTTCTCTGTTTTATTCTTGTAATTTCCCTTTCTGAGAAGCCCATCCTCCTTTACGAAGCACTACAGGAGGCCCTCTCAGAAATGTAGTGTTGAATGTATTGAAACCATTGTTTGGTGGGCTACTATGTAGCACCCCATACCCTTCGTTTCCTTCCCATGGGAGTTGCTTTTTTTTTTTTTTAGTTTGTGCAGCTCATATATGAGGGGGCAGACTGGCAGAAACTCTGAGTGGCCTGGGGTGCCATCTTTCTGTGGTTAGGTGCTTCACAGGCAGGGTATTTTCCAGGCAGGAAGAAATGGTTTTCTGTGTTTTCTTCAGGGGTACTAATTTCCTTTAAGCAGTCGCATGTTTTGATGCTTTCGAGTTTTTTTTTCTCTGATCCCAAGGCTCAATTTGCCTTGTAGTGAGTAAGGTTCTGATTATGGCCTGGTGTGATTCTCTAACACAAATAACTCCAGTGCTTCAGTTATTGAAGCTACTGAGTGGACTACCAGAAAATAGGGCAGTTACACTGAACGCTTTAATTTTTTCTATGGTGGACGTAGCCCAATTGTAACCAAACCCATCCTGGCCAAATGCCTTTTACTTTGTAATTGTGTGGTAGAACCTCTTGTGCTCATTGATATTAATTAGTTTCGTTGCTTTATTATCTGTGGGTTAGAGAGAGATCTACCAGCAGGAGTAGTCATCCTAAACAAGGAAGGGAAAGAAGTGTATCATGAAAGGAAAACAGTGGCTATATAGGTATAGCAAAGTTAGCCAATTTGGGAAGTAATATTCCGAGTGACAGAACTGGTAAAAAAAAATTACCTTAATCAAAGCATAAGGAGTTAGACTAGGCTGCTAATTAGCAGTTCATGCAGCAGTAAAGTGTGGCAATTTTGTACAGTTTTATAATTCATTGTGATTGGGGGACAGGGAGCCAGTATGTGTTTATGCACATTAGGCTTATATCAAGGTACCCCCCCTTTCTCTGAGGTCGAATTACAGACCTCCCCTCAGGATGCAAACCCACAACAAGCTGACTAACTCCTGGATAGCTACTTGCTGCTAGGTGGACAGGGGCATTAGGTGATAGGAAATGCATCCAACCATATCTGTCCCACCCGGGATTAGAGTCCAGAATTCTAGATTGTGAGCCGAGAAAAACCTGACTGTACTACTGGGACCCTAAAAATAGGAATACACTTTTAGTATTGAATACAGTACTGTACTGCTCTTCTGTTCTTTACATACACATTCCACCAACATATATTAACAAGCTCATTTCTAAGTAATATTTTGTCCCTGATGGTTATATCTTTTCTCATTACGTACCTTGAAGCATGTTGACCAGACCACACACTAGAAATCGACTTGAGAATGGTCCAGGACGGACCGAAACGTCGTCGTCCCTTCAATTTCTAGTGTGTGGTCTGGTCAACATACTTCAGCCACGTTATTGTGACTCATCGCCTGCCTTGAAGCATATTTCAAATGCTATCATTATTTTTCATTTATAATACAATAGTAATAAATGGTGAAACTCCATGGACCAGAATCCTTAGGTAAAA